GCTGTGCTGACAAGCCGCAGATGATGGCTGTGAAAACGACATGCAGTTCAGTCTCCCAGCTGCCTGTCCTGGTCTCTGCTCTGGGCTTGCCAGAAAGTTCCCTTCCCCCTACCAGAAAGAGGAGGTAAAAAATTAGAAACTGCTTTATTAGGACAATATTGCTGCTGTGAGATTGGGGAACCTTAAAGGTCGTACTATTAAAGTGCAGTAGCTTCATAAGTGACTCTTTAAGAACTGTAGGTGCAGCCGTATTTCCGTGAGCCTTTTTGAAAGGGATCATGAAAAAACAAAACAAGATCACAAGCCAGCAACTGTGTTTTTGGTGGATGTCCTAAAGGAAGTGACAGAAAACACAGGGAGAGGCGGTTTTCGTGGCAGGCAGCGTGTTCATGCTTCAGTAACTCACAGCATCTGTTTGAGCTTTGCTTGACACGATGGGTAAGGCAGAATCAGGAGATGTCATGTAATTAGGTTTCTGTAAAGCACATGATATCAAAGATTAATGAGCAAGGCAAAAATTACCAGAAAATAAGGTGTTGTCAGACATCGCAAACTGCCACAGATGGAGAATTTTTCTGAAGACCTGCAAAGGCAAAACTGATGTTTGTGTCAATGTGAATTTTCCTTGTCCTAGAGATGGGGATCGGAGCCAGGCTGCATGATGCTGCCGTGGTACTGGGTGTTCAGACCTCTAGTCCCAGCGAACGTGGAAGCTCAGGTAGAGCTCAGATACAAAAAGTAAAATACCAGATTGAAAAGTGGAACAGTTTAGGTAAAAGATTGGGATATTGCACATCGCTCAGGAGACAGGAGCAGAGGAGAGGGATCTTGTATGACATGTAATGCTGTAAGCAGTTTGCACCTGCATGGTATGAAGACCTGTCCTCTTTAAGTTTCGATGTACTCTACATATGTTAATGCATCATTGGGGCTGTCACAGCTGAGGTTCTTGAGTCAGCAAATGACTAGGACTTTGCTGCCTAGGAGCAGTTAGGATCACTTGCCTGCATTAACTGCAAGCAAAAATGAAGGACACCCAAAAAAACCCCAGGCTGCAGCATCAAGTGGGATTGTGCACACGCTTTTCCCTCGGCAGTTTTGCTGCCCAGCTCTTGGCTGCCTTCTGCATCTCCCAGCACGGCAGGGAAAGTCTGTGTCAGAGGCAGGAGCACAAGCCAAGCTGCCTGGCTCCTGATTTTATGCTTAGGCCAGAAGCACAGGTTTCCCTTCTATTGACAACTTGGGCACTTTTTATTCCTTCACTGGAAGACGGTCTGCACTGTTAGGAGAAAATCACTGAAATATCACTGAGTTTTTAGCTGGCTTTAGAAAAAAGAGGTTGTTTGAGGGACTTTTGGGTGAACTGTTACAGTGCTGCTGTCCTTTTGATTTATTCTGGATGAGCAGCACAAGAGAAAAATACAACCTTGTCTCTCAGTGGTTAATTTTCACAAATGTGAATTTTTCCTAGCGGGAGCAAGAAGAAGGTTTCAACACAGGCTATTGTTAGCCCCTGCAAATGCCAAGTGTCTGCTCTTGGGAGATGGGGAACAAAGTTGGCACCAATAATTAGTGGCTGATGTGCTGATTTGGCAAAAGTTGCTGAAAATGAACATCTGATGGAGAGGTCTTGGGATGATTTAGTAAAACACAGTGCAGTTTGAGATGACTTTTGGGATGTTATTGTGCAAAGTGCAGGGGTGATCAGAGGGAAGGTAACGCAGAGAATATGAAGGAGCAATGTGGCGTCTTACTTAGTTCTTTGAGTTTTTCTCCTGAGCTTTTCTAGCATATTGTTAGCGGTACGATGATACAAAAAAGTTGCTGATGTTAACTAAGGAAAGCTGAGATGCCAAAACATGACACATTTCTCATTTACTACAGATGCAACTTTGTTTCACTTCCTCTGTGGTAAGATACAGGTATTAATTTCATTAAACTGTCATTTAGGAGCAAATCCAACATGGGAATAACACAGCTTGGGCCAGCAAATCCAACAATTCATCATCCAAGAGACTGAGAGGCAGAGCAGGCGTCTGGAGGAGGAGTCCGTGCGATGTGTGGTCAGGCCGTGTGTGGAGGCATCCGTGCCTTTCTCAGGAGAGCCTCCCGGGAAAGGACACTTGGTGGGAAGTTGGGATATGAACCAAAAATCTTGCAGCTACTGTAGTAAATGTTTTGAGCTGTGCTGCTGGTCTTGGGGTGATTCCAGCGCCAGCTGGAGCCGGTGCGGCTTGCGCTCTGCTGGGAAGCATGTCAGGTCGGTGCCTCAGAGGTACCAGTGCCCACTGGGTGTTTTGTCTTGAGGGGCTAACACTTGAGGGGTGAAGGTAAATGGGGGTGTGGGGAATTTTTATGCTCCAAGCAAAATTTAAAGTAGTTGGTTGGCATCCACTGGCAGTGAGATGACTCCCGGGGAACCTCCTGATAACTTTTCTCGGGAGTCGGCAGGACTGTAAGGGCTATAGTGTGACAGTGATGAAGTGAGGAGCAAAGAGGGAGGACAGGCAGTTTTCACTGCAGGATGGTAAATGCAGGATCGTAGGATCACATTTTGCCTCTGGCTGATTTACTCACAGCAGGAATAAAGATACCACACTAGGAGTTAGTTTGACTTTGACACGTAAGGGAAAGAAATGAAAGCGCAAAAGCTCTAGATACCTTGACAGCCAATCATCCACCAAAATAACAGCATCCCCAGCCAGCAGAGCTGCCCGTCTGCAGCCGCAGCGCAGGGCTCAGGCTCTCCCCGCCTGCCCAGCACCACTGTTCTGCAAAAGCAGGTCTGATAGCTTTGGCCTTGCTGCTGATTACTGTGTTTTTTGGTGAGAAGCAGAGAGAGGACACGACCTGCAGCCCCTGCCAGCCTAGTCTTACTTTTCTAGAGAGCTTTTAAGATTGATGGTCAAATTTTACAGTAACTGTGATTTGCCTTATAGATCATGAATGTATGATTGCGCCACGATCCCATAGCGAATCCCCTGAGACCGCTGTGATAGCTAGGTAATTACTTCTGGGCACTAGCAAGGATTAACACTGAAGTTTTCCTGGTGGAGTAAACCATGAGGTAGGGCTGGAGCTGGCTGCTTGGCATGTTTTGAGCCCTGATAAAGAGCTGTCTCCATTGCTGCAAGGCCAGGCCTGTTCTCCCTCCACAGTAAACCTGGGAGTGACAGCTGGGCTCTGTGCGAAGAGTGAATTTTCATGCTGAATCATGGATCCTGACCAGACTAATTTTAAAAACTTGCGGCCTCAGGAGCAGAAGCTGCTGGGAGCCTTGAGGCTGGCAATGAGAACATGGTGGTTGTGCTTATTAGCCGCATTAAATGCTGCCCTCCCAGGAGAAGGACGTTGGGGCTCCATGGGGATGTAGGACCACCGTGTGGGGCCTTCTGTCTGTCTTGTGAGCGAGGGGAGCTCTGCCAGTGCAGTGCAGTGGCCTGCAGATGCGGGTGTCATGACAAACATGGCCTTGAAGGTTGGTGGAGAAATGGTAAGAAGCTGCCCAGGCAAATGTGTCTTTTGGGGACTGTCCTTTGGCTGCAGGTCTCTTCTAGGAGGCACAGAGACAAGGACCTCACCACACAAGGCACAGCCTGAAGCACAAGGCAGTAAGGAACACTGCGGTGGGGTCCGGGGAGGCTGGGTGTGTGTCTGTCCTGGCAGCCAGAGGCTGGACAGGTCGGTACATTGTTGTCACCACAGCGGGGAGCTGCGGGGGGCTCTGCTCAGGGTACACATTGCCCAGGACCTGCTGAAACAGCAGCCCGAGGCAGCAGTCTTGAGGCAAGAGCACAGACGTTCTTGTAATGAGCCCAGTGATCTGGTGACTCATTCATCCCTTCCCAAGCAGCCGGTTTTGATGTGAAAACTTCAATAAATGAAGATGGAGAATCCACTTTTGTAACATTTCCAAGAGTTGTTTCTTATTTCTGCTTTGAAGGTGATGGCTTTAGCTTCGTCCCTTTGCTTCCTATTATGTTTCTGTGAACTAAGTACTGGGAGCCTTTAATCAATCCACAGCGCTCTCGCCGCCTTTCTTCGCCTCTCTGAGCAAGTCTTTCCTGACATTCTCTGAAATCAAGAGGTTCTCAGTGGGGCTTCCAGGGCTCTTGTAATGCAAATGATAATAATGATATTAATGCTAATCATTGTTATTCTATAGGGTGAAATGTCAAGATTCCATTCATGTTAATTTTTGGTAGGTAGGTGCCACATTAACTGTATCCCGTCCTGACAGAGAACGTGCTTTTCATATCACAGGGACTATTAGAAATTGTTAGTAATAAAGTTGGCTACTATTGTGCCTGATGGATTGGTCTTTGGCATACAATAATGCAAAGTGACATGGCAAATTGGGAATGAAGGATGAAAAGCTGTTAAAAAAATTGTGGACATAGCTATAAGTTAATTAATTTCATATCTAAAATGTGCACTACTGTTGAATTTCATGTATGTATCTAGGAAAGGAGCTAATGTGTTGAAGCAGGAGGGATTGGTTTGCTACTACCTGCCTGCATAGAACAAGGCTATACTGGCAACTGCACTTGCCTTGAAATAGGATTCTGTGGGCAGTAAGATCAGATTTTGAAGTATGATGTCTATCTTTAATTGTCCTGAAATGGAGGATATCCTTGGTAGCACAAGACCCCTGAATGGTGTATTTTTGTTACCAGTACTTTTAAGCAGCAAGTATTTTACTGCAAACAGCTCCATTCTTCTCATCAAGACATTGGTATGACTTGCTCTCCTTTTGGCCTTGTATTTATTACGCAATATTACTTTGTAGAAAGTATTGCTTTTACTTTGCAAAGTAAAAATCTTTTGGGTCAGATTTCTCTCTCATTTAGGTCATTTTTAATTGACAGTAAGTGAAACTAATGCTGTTATATAACACAGAGAACGTAACAAACGCTGCTACTTCAAATTTATACCATCTTAGCTGAGACCTGAGCCTGAACCTCTCTTGGTTGATAACTCGTTTGTCTGTTTGATTTCAGCAGCTAACCTCACTAATTTGGATAGTCTCGACAGCGCGTTGAGCTTTATTGAAGACCGGGTGCATAGATCGAGGCAGCGCTATCGAAGGCATGCAACGGAGGATGATTACAACATTGAAGTCCTTCTGGGGGTTGATGACTCAGTTGTTCAATTCCATGGGAAAGAACATGTTCAGAAGTACCTGCTGACCCTGATGAATATTGTGAGTACAACCCCGCTAACTGCACTGTGGGGAGGCACTGAAAGGACAGTGAATGTAGGCTGGTTTAGCCATTTCAATAAGACATAACAGATTTTTCTCGTGGCAGGAGATAAAATAACTCTGGGAGGAAAATCCAGGCCACTTTCAGAAAAGCCAAAGGGGGAGAAGGAAAAGAGAAAAAGGGGCCAAGGAAGCAGCTGACTGTGGGACTCTTAAAATGTTCAAAGTCCTGCTTATGTGCTGTGGTGGATGGGGGCACAGGGTCAGGGGCTCAGGTTCGTGGAAGTCATTATGTTTTAGCTGTATATTCCCTTTACCTAAGCTCCCTGCTGAAAAACATGGTTTGGAGACCTGTCTTCAAATAAGGTTCTATTAGAAACTTCGATTGGCTTATACATTTTTAAAACTACTCAGTTGAATTCTTTGATTCCTCAACAACCACTTTAGGTCCCAGGCCACCTACCTACTCCTTGTTCACCCTGCAGTAAAATGTTATGCAGTGTATCACTGAACTTTCTTAAATTGATTTAGTATTTACTCCATGACTGATATCTTTAGGTTTCCTTAGTTAAATATTTAATCTTCAGAACCATAGTCTGTGCAACAGACTATGTAGCGTAGTAGTGATAAAAGGAGACACTAGAGAATATTATATTTGAAAGAACCATTTTTTCTTTCTAAATATCAGTGCAGCAGACACAGCAGCCCTCTAGTACCCCGGTCAGTAAGCAAGGACTCTATTTTGTGGGAAAGAATCAAGTTTTGAAAAATCATCTCTATTATAGATCAAAATCAAAATACGTTTTTTATTCTTCTGGCCAAAAAATGGGAGTGTGTGGTAGCCCCCTTCATAAGCAACTCATTCAGGGATGACTTTCTTCCTTCTCATTCTCATCTGGAACAAGAGTCTGGTCTCAATAAAACACACTTCTGTAAAAACTTCAGGTTCAGTGAGTGTGTGTTCTTAGTGAAATGTTGAGTAAAAAGTTGAAGGTCTGCTCTATTTTTGACAAATAGAGTATGACTGCTGAAGTTTACAGTCATGTCAAGAGAATGAGCGTCTGTAGGTGACTTCTTGGCATTACAAACCATAGAGGCAGATATATGGACAGAAATCCAGGCTATTAGGTACATTTGCCTGGGATGTATTTTTTCCAAGATATATTTTTTTAATTATGAAGCTTGTTTTTTTCTTTCTTTATTACATTCTTTTAACAATGTGTAGAATGTCACTGTTTTTCACTTTAAATGAGAGGTGGAATACAATTTAAGAAAATCCCTTGTGTGATATAAATTCAGATGCACTGACTTTTTGTAACAGTATTGTAAATAGTTAAAAACCTGCACTAACATTAGAGTTATAGGATACTTCGTGTCTGCTCTGATGGCTGTAAATACATATATTCTAACAGAAATGACATAGTGAATTTCATTTGTTTGTGTGGTTTGTTTCCTCTGAGGCTTAAAACAAAGTCTACAGTGAAACAGATGGTTTTATACATCTCTAAATTAACAAGCCAAACAGGCCAAACCAGGAATGTGGCAAGCGGGCTGAAATAGATTAAACAGGACTCTTTACTTATCATGTCACTTAAATCTATTTTTAAGAATTAAAATATACAGTAATGGTAAAGAAGCCATAAATGTTCCAGCTCTGGAATATACTTTTTCCTAATTTTAGCAAACCATCCAACACACAAATTGTAAGAAATAACAACTCTTAAGCATGCTGTCTCTGCAAGTGGTTTAGAAAGTACAGCCTGTGTAACCGTACCACAGGGCTGTAGCAGCTCTTGGCATAGGCAGTAGTTGTTCTGTTGGGAGATCTGAGGTAGAAGCGTGTCTTTTGGGGACTGAGGATGTGTCCCTTGCTTTGTGTCCAAATACGAGGAGCTGTTTGAAATCCACAAGGCCTCTCGGGGAGGCTCTGGGTAGTCTCTGGCAGTCATCAGTGTTGTCCTGTTCTTTCCTTCTTCAAAACTCAGCTGGTTTCTAGACTCTGTATTTTAGCAGAGGGATGGATGATGGTAACCAGTTCTGTTTCCAGCTGTCCAAGCATTGCTCCAATATAGAGAGGCAAGAGGGGTTTGTTACTACAAATACCAGGCAATGCTGGGGACCCGTATCGTGCCGAGGGACATCACAGCGCAGAACTTCTCCTTCCCCTTGGCAGCGTAACTCCAGCTGGCAGCTCCTCCAGCTCTTGCCCTCATTGCTAGATGGATGCAAGGCGAATTTCTGTGTAGACCATTGCTACCGTCTCCTTTGCTGAAACTCACGCAGTGACTCCCCCGTTGTCCTCTGCTCCACCTCCTTGAGTAGTTATTTTTTTTTTAGAGAATGGGCCCAATCTAAAAAGCCTTGGGGTCTCTAGCTGTTAGGGGTCACATGTAGACAGTGTGTTTCTGATGAGATGTGTAGGTCAAGCTGAAAAAGAAGAGACAGCTACAAAAAATTCCAGCTGTCCTTTTAAATCTGGTGGAAGATCCTACCATAACCATCAGATTGTGTGTACGCTGCTGGTTTTATGGATGTAATCAATTAGCTTTGTACAGTAACAAGGCATTAAGCATAAAATCAATTAGCTTCTTACAGTAACAAGGTACTAAGCATAAAATCAAAGAATGCATAGTAAGTAAATAAAATAATAGTGGAAGTATTTACTGGAGATAAGAGGGTGATCAAATAGTTGAATTTCTGTGGTTCCAAAAATGAAATAAATCCCAGGTGAATCCTCCCTTGTGCCCGAGCTCCTGGAGGCATGAAATCACTTTCCCAGAAGCAACTCCAGCATGGCTCCTTCTCCCCACTTTGCTTGATTTCACTGTCTGTGATGGCGTGAGCAGCTGTCCTTAACTAACTTTTCCCAGGGATCTTGGGTGGAACCCTACCACCAACCCAATCAAAACAATATATTTTTTTCAAGCCCAGTGCAATGACTTACTCAGTAAATCTGTTTTGTGCTGCTTAAGTGATGTGTTACAGTCCACACCTAAAAGCCATAAAGTGAGAAAAAACAGGGGCCGGGTGTCCTGGCTATCTTGAATAGCTGTGCTAATATTTATCCCAAAGTTTGCAAATGAAGTCACTCCCAAACGAATGGTGATAGACGCCAGAGGATTTTTAATGCTTTGGGCTGCAGCCATATATTGCCTGACTGTACGCCAGCCGTTTCACCGCAGTGAGCTCGGCCTCTTGCCACCCCCTTTTCATCCTCCAGTCATTTCCTCATACAAAAACTCTGGTTTCTCTTGACATCCTCTCTTTTCTCTGCTCAGCACCATCGGGACATTCAGTCCATCTTTGGAAAATATGCCATTGTTTTTGCTTTAGAGACCCTCAGCTGCCTCTTGCTTGCACCGTTTTCTTTCGTACGTCATGCTGTGTTTTTTCCTGGGAAGGATATTAGCTTGCATAGTCCTCTGCATTTCCAAGCGTGAGCCCACACATTGCACAAATTAACTTTGTATTTATAGCATGCAGGAGCATTGCAACAGAGGAGAGATATTTGGGTGGTATCTTGCAGCTCTGTAGTTTACTCAAGAACGTGGAAGGTAATTTAATTGCAGCAAGAAGGCGGCTAAAAATCCCAGGGATTTTATCTGCTCATACAAGCGTTTGGAAATATTAGAAAAGTGCAAGGCTAGAAGCAGCGTTGGAGAATTATCTTGTTCCTTGGGAAACAAAAGGATTTCACTGCAGGATGCTTTGGGAGGAGGAGCAGGGTGCTGAATGGGCGTTAGTGAGCTAAAGTACGTATTGGTGGTAGCCAGCCCTGGGGCTGAAATTCTTTGATTGTTTCATAACCCTTTTTAAAATAGTTTTCATGATTAAGCAGGCCTTTTGCCACCTGCTGTGGAAGAGCGGCAGACCTGAGACTCACCAGTACATTTACCTGGCTGGGCCTGCAGTATTGGTAAGGGTGAATATTTCAGCCTCTACAATCCTGTGTTTAGGGTCACATCCAAGATGAATATCTTCAAAACAGACTTCCTAAAGAGGCAGAGGTAGAATATGTGATCTTATAATATTTCGGCCATTCCAGATAACAGTGTGTCGCAAAATAAGCTCAGTTGCATTTGAATGTATTGGCTCCATCTGTCTTGACTTCAAGTCTTCAGCTTCCATGCCGCTCTTCAACTTGTGTTTTTTTCCCCAGTGAGGCACCTGTTTTAGCTTTTTCTTGTAACCTTGTCTTTCTTCCTCCACAATATTCCTCAATTCCTCAACTACCTCATTTTCTAATTGGCAATTGTCATCCTTGTATATTTTTGGGAAGAATTTGGCTACAAAGTATGTACATTTTTTGATTTTTGGACAATTTCCAGGGGCAAAAAAATCTTTAATTTCCTTTCCATTCCTTTACTGTAGAAGGTGTGATATTGCAATATTTAGGGGTTAGCCTCCATTACATCCGTGTAATGGATATATGGCCAAAATGTTTGCGATGCTAAACCCCATCTCCTCAAAGTAGATAGGTGCCTAACTGCCATTATTTCAAAGGGAGATAGACCCCAAATAGGATTTATGCCTCACTCTGGGCTAGATTTATCTGAGTATTTAGTCGTTTACCTGCCTTTGAAATCAGTGAGAATCAGTTTCAAAAATTAGCCCATGGGATTATGTCTCTCCCAGACTTTAAGTGAAACTTCAGCTCCAGAACAAATACATTAAACAACTTTTCATTTGAATAACTGAAATCAATGGGAGTTATGCAGCTGGGGGCTTTGGAAAGTCCCTGGAGTCTTTCACCTGCATCTTTCAGCACTACACGTCTTTGAAATTGTGGCCCTGAGGCACTTTTGAATATGTTATCCATCCTCTTTAATAGGATGTACATGATACTACTATTATAGATGAGATTTCTGCTTTCGTATCTCTGGCTGATGAAGGATGAAGATTTGCAGGTACAGAACAGCAAGTCCCTAATGAGAGGAAAGGGCAGAAATGCCATCGGTTTCTAACTGGCAGTTGGATGAAAACCTGAAAGCCTGTCTAAT